TCCAGTCCCCCCCCCCCATTTCATCTGTAGCACCTGCAGGAAAAAAAAGAGTGGGGCCAGAGCTCATTTGATAGAGTGCGTGCCTAGCCTGCATCAGGCCCTACATTCTGTCCCAACACAGGGGCACATGCCTATAATTCCAGCACTTGGGAGGTGGAGGCAGGAGGATCAGAAGTTCAAGGTCATCCTCAGCTCTATAGTTAATCTAAGGGGCTCCTGTCCTGCATGGTGAAGGAGTGGTGGGTTGCAGGGGTCTGGGGTAGATCATCTTGATCAGACCCTGCCTCTGACCCTGAGAGTGGTTCCTGCCTGTCCATCTCCAGGCTCCCCTGCACTGATGAACATCATGCAGAACTGGTATTCCTTATTCACCCCGGTGGAGGCAGCCACCATCGTGGCGGTGACAGGTACCACCCACACCACTCTGCTGCGGCTGCAGCTGGACACTCCGGGGCGGGAGGAGCTATGGGCCTGCGCACGCACCCTGGCACTGCAGTGCGCCATGAAGGACCCCCAGAACTGCGCTTTGCCAGCCTTGACGCTGTGTGAGAAGAACCACGCGGCCTTTGAGGCAGCCTACCAGATCGTGCTGGATGCAGCAGCCGGTGGCCTCGGCCATGCACACCTCTTCACAGTGGCACGCTACATGGAGCACCGTGGCCTGCCACTGCGGGCCTACAAGCTGGCCACACTAGCCTTGGCGCAGCTCAGCATCGCCTTCAACCAGGACAGCCACCCTGCCGTCAACGATGTGCTGTGGGCTTGCTCTCTCAGCCACTCGCTGGGCCGGCAGGAACTGTCAGCCATCGTGCCCCTCATTATCCGCAGCATCCAATGTGCACCGATGCTCTCCGACATCCTGCGTCGCTGGACGCTCTCGGCACCGGGCCTGGGCCCACTGGGGGCCCGCAGGGCGGCCAAGCCTCTGGGTGCCGACAGGGCACCTCTCTGCCAGCTCCTGGATGCTGCGGTGGCTGCCTACACCCCCACCAGCCACTCTCGCCTCACTCACATCAGCCCGCGCCACTACGGGGACTTCATTGAATTCCTGGGCAAAGCCCGAGAGACCTTCCTGCTGGCCCCCGATGGGCACCTGCAGTTCTCGCAGTTCTTAGAGAACCTCAAACAGACATACAAGGGCAAGAAGAAGCTGATGCTGCTGGTGCGAGAGCGGTTTGGATGAGGGGCTGCAGGGAGCAGAGGCCTGGGGCCTCCCCCAGCCTGCCTCCCTGACACCAGAGGCCCTTTGGGCTTTTCAGTATTAAGTCAGGGAAGGTAGAAGCAGGAAGTGGTACCCTGACATGTGTGTGCCTAGGAGTGTGCAGACATGCGGGAAATCTGAAGCCATACTGCCACCTAGTCGCCTGGAAGGGGGTATGTGCCTAGGCTCCCCACAAGCTCTGACTCCCCCAAATTCACAGGTTAACTGGGGATTCCAGAAGGGCTGGGAGGCAGAACTTTCCTGAAAGTAGTCCTCAAAGTCAGTGTAGCAGAACCTCTGCAACCCACCCAGGTGGCTGGGGAGCTTCACATTAGGGCATCTAAATAACTTTGTTCTCCCTCACCCACTGCTCAGGGGTCCTGTCCCACTGTCCTGTGTTCTCTGCTCATGTGGCCCCTCTGCTCATGTGGCCCCGCACAGACCAATGCTTTACCACCACTGAAGGATATTTTAAGAAATGGCCTCAGCCAATTAATATCTCCTAAAAGCTTCTGAAAATCATTAAGTGTGAGTAATTTTTGTCTTTTTATTTCTAACTTTTGGGGTTGTATATATTTTGGGAATATCCTTGACCCTAGGAAAAGGCCATAACGGGTTCCTTGTATTTTTTCTGGAGCAACATATAGCCCCCTATCTCTTAATCTATATAAAGTGTCTCTAAGCATGACATCAAGTTCTTTTCTCTCTTGGCTACTGAGCAAAATATCATCCATATAATGAAGTATGATAGCATTAGGAAAGGCTTTTCTTATGGGATCAAGTATGTTTTGTACATACAATTGACAAATTGTAGGGCTATTCATCATGCCCTGTGGCAACACCTTCCATTGATATCTCTTATCAGGGTCTGCATGATTTACAGCTGGAATGGAAAAGGCAAATCTTTTTCTATCTTGAACATGTAGGGGAATAGAGAAGAAACAATCTTGGATATCTATTATATAAAGTGGCCATTCTTTTGATACGGCTGACATGATGGGGAGACCATGCTGTACAGTTCCCAGCATTAACATTTGTGCATTAACTGCCCTTAAATCTTGTAGGAATCTCCATTTCCCTGTTTTCTTTTTTATTACAAAAATAGGAGTATTCCAAGGTGACGTAGATGATTCAAGATGACCTTGCATTATTTGTTCCTGTATTAATAATCTCAGAGCCTCTAGCTTTTCGGAGGATAATGGCCATTGAGGCACCCATACTGGCTCCTCCGATTTCCAAGGTATGGGTTTGGGACCCTCAATGGCTCCTAGAAAAAACCCAATCCCTTTTTCTCCCTATTGGTGATTGCTTCTAAGGGTTCTATGCTGCCTTGGAGGTTTTTACCTAATCCTTTTCCTTTTTGGTATCCCATTGTATTCATTATCTGTTCGGCAGTAGATATTTTGCATGTGGTCTTAGTTTCTGCCTGACTTTCATCTGATAATTTCATTCCCATATCAGCTAAAACGTCATGTCCCCATAAATTTGTTGGCAAAGGCAATACATATTGTGTAAACTTTCCTTCCTTACCTTGGTCCGTTCTCCATAAAAGAGGCCATGCACTTATTGCGGGATTAGAGCTATATCCCAATCCTCGAAGGGTTTGGCTGGACTGCTTAAGTGGCCAAGTTTTAGGCCACCAATGAGAGGAGATTAGACTCTGGTCTGCCCCTGTATCTAGTATGCCTTCAAATTTCTTTCCCTGTATACTCAAAGTCATCTTTGGTCTGGAGCCCAAATCCATTATTAGATTGGCCTCATTTCTTTCTTCATTAGATATGGGTATTAATTGAGCAATGGTATCTCCCTCCTTTATTTCTATAGGCCATTGTGGACTGGAGCATAGAACCTGAAATTTTGGGCCCTGGACAACTCCTGGAAATACAATTATCTCTTGTCCTGAAAACTTACTACATCCTATTAGAAGACCTTGTAAACTTTTTGTAGAGGCCATTAAGACCTGCACGGGAACAGGTTGGGGTCCTTGATCTGAATCTAATAGGACATTGGAGGTGGCGTACACGTCCAATCTTCCCATTCCTCCGTGGGGGAGATGATTTCCTGAAATCGGTCCCCGAATCGCTGCTGCAATTGGGCTTTGGACCATGGGCATGTTTGGGCGGGGTTTCCATATTTGTCTGGGCCCTGGAACCGAGGGCCCCTCATCTCGTTTTTTGGCTTAAATTCTTGCTTTGGGCTCTTCCAAGGCCTTGGGGGAACCAAAAGTTTTCCCTCAATGTCTCTTATAGATCTACAGTTCTCGGCCTTGTGTGCCCCTTTTCTGCATCTAGCGCAGATTTCAGTTGTAAGATTATTTGGGGCTGCACTCTTGCAGTCTTTTTTAAAATGTCCCATTTTGCCACATTGATAACAAGGTCCTTTGCCTCTTCCTTGAGGAGCATTTTTGGCAATATGCATTATAGCTGCCGCCAGCCCTGCATTAGATAATGGGCCCCCTAACTCTCTACATACCCTTAACCAATCTTGTAATCCTTTACCCTTTCGAGGGGCAATGGCATTACGGCATTCTTGTGTTGCTTGTTCAAAAACTAATTGCTCAATAAGAGGCATTGCAGATTCTGAATCTCCAAAAATTCTGTTTGCTGCCTCGGTCATCCTGGCCACAAAATCTGAAAATGATTCCTGTGGGCCCTGTATAATTTTGGTTAGCTGGGTTGCTCCTTCTCCCTTTTTAGTTAAAGCTTTCCATGCTCTAATTGCCGTCATGGAAACCTGTTGATAGGCTCCCCAGGCATAAGTATTTTGTTCATTTGCATATCTTCCTTGTCCTGTTAACATTTCATATGTCCATTGTTGTTGTTCAGGGGTTAAGGAGGCTGCATTGATTCGGGCTTGCTCTTGTGCAGCCTCATACCATAGCGCCTTCCACTCTAAAAATTGGCCCATGCTATTAAGCATAGCCTTTGCAATAGTTTGCCAGTCAGTAGGCATCATAGAATCTCTTGCCAGTCTGTCTAGCTGTGCTAAAGTAAAATTTGCATTCACTCCATATTTTCTTACTGCTTCAGCCAATTCTTTTATTTGATTATAGTCTATAGGTGCATAGATCCGTCCCATGCCTTCTTGCCCTTCTATGGGTGCTTCAAAGACTGGGAAGGCCATGCCTAACTTTCTCCTCACAGTTTTTGAAAGGAGTGAGCAAGATGGCTGCATTGAATAAGGTGGGGGGGCAGTAGCAGCCCCTTGCCCCAGAACATAGGGCACTGGGTTCTTATATTCCAGTGGCCTGTATCTATTTTCTTCATAATTTGCTGCTTGTTCTTCTAATTCTATCTCTTCTTCTGGGCTTAAACTGCTCTCTTCTAACTGCAGAGCAGCAAGTTCCCTTGTGGGGTATAAATACCCCTTTGGTAAATTTCTTCCCTGTCTAAAACCTGTTACTTGGTTTCTTGCTCCGTCCTTTTCGACAGTGCTCTCTCCCCTGCCTTCCTTTCCGTCTCGCCGGCAAGAACGACGCGGGAGGACAAGTCAGGATCCTTCTGCAGCAGTTTATTTCATAAGCCTCTTACATAGCATACTAAGGATGAAGACCGAAGACGCCGAGAAGTGGGAGAGCTGTTGCTTATATATGCCCTAAAGGTCCCATTTATGACGTATAAGAAGCGGATTGGTTGCTGGAGATCACGCCACGGGAGGAGGCGAGGGAGAGCAGGCTCTTGTGCACGCCCCTTATGGGCGCAGCAGGATGTTTACTGTTAAGAAGGTCCAGATACCGGCGCCATCTTGTAATGGCGGCAGAGGCTGTGGCTCTCCACAATTGAGTATCTCTAATTATGATATTCTCAACTTTCTATGATATAATTTAGTCATTTCTCCTAATAATTATGCTAATTCATAAAAGCACAAATCCCTCTCTGTCATCTTCTATTTCTGCTTTATTTCAGTAGCTGTTTCTTCTGCTTCTTCTGTAGTTTATGTATTGTATTTACCGTGGGCTTCTTCAAGTTCCTTGAAAAAAGTCAAGCATTTATTGTACAAAGCAAACTTCCAGTCCTGTTTTACAATGGCAGTTTGTTAGTCACTTATGTCAATGACTTATGAAAAGGCTTGAGTACAACAATTTAAAGGAAATATTTATTTTAGTTATTGCTTTCAGTGGTTTCAGTGAGTGGTCAGCTGCCTCTAATGCTGTGAACCAACAGAAAGGGAGAAGCACAGTGATAGGATCCTGTATTAATGGGGCTCACTCATCATGTCAGGAAGCAGAGATACTGAAAGGACCAGGAATATTATTTATCCTTAAAAGGAATGGTCCTACTTATGCACCTCCTCAAACCAAGACATACTTTTTAAGTCTCAATATTTTCTCAATAATTACATGAAATTATGACTGTTAATAAATTGATGCAGAGTGTTCATGACCCAAACATATACAATTTGCACCATTCATTTGTCAACCAAGGCTTTAACACATGAGCCTTTGGGGACATTTCAGAATCAACTACAATCTGTCTCCTAAGATCTTTCAATTTGCGTGTTTATCATATTTGACACACTAATATCGGGTATTGTTTTTAGTAATATTTTATTGATTCATTGAGAATTTCATAAAATTTATTTTAATCATATTCAACTCCCTCCCCAATCTCCTCTAATATAAAATCCACCTTCCTACCAAACATTACTTTGTGTCCTCTTTTGTTAAAGACCATCAAGTCTAATTTTGTTTCCCAAAATACTCTTGGGTATGGGCTCATTCAGTGGAAGATGGTCAACAAACTCAGGTCATATTTTTAAGTAAAAATGATTCTGCCTCTAACATAAGATGTCAATGACCATAGTTCCTCATCTAGGGCTGTGGCTTCATGCTTACTCCCCCTTCCATGCTGGATTTTTTGGGGGAGGGGGGGGAGCTTGTGAAGATCATTGCATGCTGTCCCAATGATCGTGAATTCAATTGTGCAACTGCCTTCTTGGGTCCACAAAACACTGCTTAACCGTAGTCATCCACTGTTTCTGGTTCTTAAATATTTCTGCCCCATCTTCAACAATGTTCCTTGTACTTTAGAAGGATGTAGCACAGATGTCACAATAGGGTTGATGCTTTCACAGTCTCTTATTCTTCGATTTGACCAGTAGTACATCTTTGTGTTAATAGCCATCTCCTACAAAATGAAACAAACTAGACTCCATCAACTTATGGATAAGAAAATGTGGTACATTTATATAATAGAATATTATTCAGCTGTTAAGAAAATGAAAACTATGAAATTCACAGAAATGGATCAAGCCTGAAACAATCATCTTAAGTAGGGATAGCCCCACAGGAAGACAGATGGCACATCTCTCATATGTGGGTCTAGCTTTGAATTTTTAGATATGTGTGCTTCATTTAGAAAACACATAAAGGTCAGGAATGTTGTAAGGGGACATGGGGAAAGAGGATCAAGGGAAGGTAGATAGAATCCTTTGATAAAAAGGAAGAAAAGGGAATAATGGACTAGGAAGAGTTAAATGTGGCTGTAGATGGATGAGCAGGATACAGGAGGAAGAACATGGAGGTGGAAAGGGATAACTAGCAATAAAGGTCTTTGGAAAAAAATTCATGTAGAAAACTACCACCCACATCCATGCTATGTATGACCATGCCTGTGTACATACACACACACACACACACACACACACACACACACACACACAAAGAATTTACATGGAGTTGCCTTGTAATGGAGGAACAATACACCTACCAAATAACAAATGCTTCAAATATATTTTTGACTATTGACTATCCACATTGTTATTTCTTGTCTTCCATAACTTGATAGTGAGATCATATTGATGTAGACAGTATATATTTGAGTCATAGAACATAGAGAAAAAAAGCTGGTACTGACCTGAAAGCTTTATCCATACTGACTAAATTTTATAGTACTGCAGTGTTATGCATGTCACCAGAAAAGGAAAATAATCATCATTCTTAACCAATTATGAAACTTTTGAGCTAAAACAAAGACTATCCTTCCCAGATAAACCTACTGTTGAAAAACTGGCAGCAATGTCTTATAGGTAACCAAACACTTTCTGATTGTATTTAAGTCCCATTCCACAAGATGGAACCCATAGCTGGCATAGTTCTCAGAGTGAAGAACTATGGCTAGAGAGGTCATAGGCCCCAGAGGATATTTCTCTACTGTTATTTTACTACGTGGACAGTATAAAACTTATTCTTCATAACTTATTATTATACTAATAAATTAGTGCATCTCTCAATTTTGAGATGTTATGTCTTTTAGGTATGTTAGGTATGACCATTATATTCTGTATTACCTTGCTTGTCTTTGCACTGAGGAATCATTTTCCTGTATCTATCATCTGTCTGTTTATCTATCATCTACCATTTATTTTTTACCTGTCATCTATATAGAATCTATATGATCTGTCAAACATCTGTTTCCAAACCATCTGTATAATATATATTCAACTGTTAATCTACCCATGGCAATTTGTTCATGCTTTTTCTGTAGGCTCTTCTAAGTGCTTCTCAGTGCATGATGCCTCACAGATTCTAGTCATTTAGATAATTAATTATGTTTTTACCTCTGCTTCAGTTGTTATAGTGTTCCCAGATATTTTTCAAATGCTTGTGGATAGTCTGTAAGTTTGAATAAAGTATTTTTGAATTAATGAAAACAATGAAATATGGTAAGCAAATCAATGAACATACTGAATGTACTTAAGAAGCAGAAATGTCTAACTGTCTATATTTCTAAAATATTTAACTTACTAATTATTATGCTCATTAATCTCTTGAATGTTAAGTCAACAACAAAGATTGGCTATCCTAATACTTTTCTACTTAATGTCAAAATACAATTATGCAGTCAAATGTTCTACCCCTGAGCTATACCCCCTCTCAAGATACAATTATGAAGCCATTGAGTACAAATTGCAGCAAAATTAAGCAAAAGAAGATTTTTTTTTCTCTGGTTTACCAAAGATTTATGGGTATTATCATATTTATTGCTGACAAAAACTAGAAAAGCCAGCCAATTTTACATTATCTTCCAAGAAATTGTTAGTGTCTAACAAAATGATAGGAAGTATTCAGTAAATATTATACAGCAAATGCCTATGTTGAAGTTAATATTTTTTTAAATAAGTGTTTTTGAGAATCGTGGAATGATTTTCTAATTAGTCAAATTTATTTTGGAACTAATTGGTTACATGTTCTTAAAACATAGAAAGACATAATGATCCTACACTCTAACAGTAAAATGTTATTATCCTATTAAAGGTTAGGTTTATACACATTTTAATAAATGTTTGCTGATTTAATCATCATTAATAACAAATAAGATTTAAGTACCCACTAACCTATTTGAAAGTATTTACAGTGTTTGCTAAGTCAGCAGGAGACCTTGAAGATGTTTGCCTCTCTGTTTGGAGCAGCTACTTCTGTGAAAGTTGATAGTAGAAAAATGATCAAATATGCATTATTAGACATTACAAATGCAAATAGGATCACTCAAGTATTTTGTTTATAACATTGGTCCATAAAAATGGAAATACATAGGACAGTATTTAGTTTAATGTGATGTATTATCATCATGATTTGATTTCACATTTTTATATAAAAATTCACACTAATTTAAACTTAGCAAATGACTATTTGAAAACCTAGTAAGATTGATATCAAAGCTCAAAAATGTTATCTAAATGAGAGTCACTCAGAAATAAGCCTTAAATTACCACAGAGAGGCTATATATTTATAATAATTTCACTCAGATTTCAGCATATTCGAACTACACAGTATGGAAAAAGTTTTCAAAGTGGTTTCAAAGTCTTTAAAATTACAAAGAGTCTGTCTTTGGACAGGATTTCAAGAAAGAATTTTAGATAAGTAGAAATGGGATTTTTGGACATTTGTAAATTATGCGTAAGGTCTAAAAAGCTAAATGCTAATGACAAGAGCTCTATGTAGCAAAATTTGAAAATCCAAAAAAAAAAAAAAATGCTAGTGGATAAGAAAAGGAAAAGAATTAAAATGATGCCAAAAATTGCATTTTAGAATTTATTTTGGGATTTATTTGAAAGGAAATTATAAATTACTGAATGCTTTAAAACAGAAAAGTTTTAATCTGTATTTTAAATATAACTTCAACCAAATACAGTTCTGCTGTAGGAGTATTATACTCAATGTACGCACAGAAGAATTCCAGACAGTGATGGTTCAATTAAGAACCATTTAATTAGCTGGTAGTCTAGAGCAGCTCATGCCCAGAAGAACTCCAGACCTGAGTAGAGGCAGAGCAGCATTTTCAAATCTTAAAAACACAATTACATCATGCCGGAGGCAAAGCCAATAACCGTGGTTAGGCCATATCAGAGGCAGGTCAGTTAACAATGAAGTTTTC